AGGGGGTTTCAGCTCATAGCAGTGTTTGTTCCAGCTTGGTCTTGATTGATCGGGAGTGGGACCGAACGTTTCGGCACAACAGCAGTCGGTCTGTAATTTCCTCACAACCCCCCTACTCCTCATGCTCCACCACACCACGACACCACCGAAACCACTGCCGAGCACGAAAGTACTCGGCAACAACAACAGGAGCCCAAAGTGAATGTATTGCCTCTTGTGTCTCGGTGGGTGTTGAGTGTTAAGATGTACAGCATATCCAGTATGCTACAAGTCAGCTGACTTGTAGCATAGTGGATATGCTGTACATCTTAACACTCAACTCACACCGAGACACAAGAGGCAATAGATTTACTTTGGGCTCCTGTTGTTGTTGCCGAGTACTTTCGTGCGCGGCAGTGGTTTTGGTGGTGTGGTGGTGTGGTGGAGCATGAGGAGTAGGGGGGTTGTGGGGAAATTACAGACCGACTGCTGTTGTGCCAAAACGTTCGGCCAAACTCCCGATCAATCAAGACCAAGCTGGAACAGACACTGCTATGAGCTGAAACACCCTATGAGAATGAAACACTTTGTGCCAGACAAACAATTTCAGGATCTGCTATTTTCCACGGCGCTCACGTTCGTTACCATATCGCCCGATACTCACTCACCGAGACATGTTCTGCGCCACAACCCAACCCAGGTCGGCTATAGAATGAAAGATCGGGTTGGGTCGAGGATGATGAGCATACATTACAACGGCGTGCAGCGATCACCCAGGCTTTGGTGCGCCCGAGCATCAGCATGGCCAAATGGCCCCGTTGTGCGACACATGTCTTGGTATGCTACATGTATGTCCGCCTGCGCCATTATAGCACCACTGCACTGGTCGGCTGTAGAATGAAACGTTTTACCCGTCGGATCCACCCGTCGATCCGCATCCATCCACCGTTCACCACTCTTCGGCTGTGGCTGAGGGCATGTTGTTTGAGACCGCCACCACACTGGCATGTCTTCAGAGCATCCTCCTGGCCAAGTGACCACACAAGTACAGTCAGTCGTGGTCCCGGTTTAGCGGGCCATAGTGTCACAAAATGTGTAAACCGCTAGTTAGTGAGAGAATCGCCGCTACGGTAGACCAGATTGGCAGATATATTGCAGGTTGACAACCGAAGTGCAGCCGTGCCACGAGATTTTCGGACCGCTATTCCGGGCATCTCGCTAAACAGGGAACCGCTATATACCGGGACTACGGCTATACATAGTTTGGCCTGTGATGACGTGGATACCATGCACGTGGAATGAATATCGCCCTGGATCGCGGATGAACGCGGAGGAACATTTACCCGTCGTCGGATCATGGATCGTGGATCGTGCCGAAGTTCCTTCATGTTGTCGACATAGATTACGGTTTCGTGGGACCGTTACAGCACGGCCATGTCTTCAACGCACACCCGCTGGCCAATTGGCCAACAATGCATGTATGTGCATGAACACGTGTCCTGCGGCAAGGTGGATATCGGATACCGTAATGTCGCGGTTCCGGTGTTGGTGATGTGGTGGTGTGGTGGTGTGTATGGTGGTGTAGTGGGGGTGGGGCGGGTGGGACACCTCCACGGGTGTTTTGTGTTTGAGTTTGGGGAAGAATGAGAGACAGGCACTGCTGTAAGACTGAAACACTTTGTGCCAGCCAAACTCACTCCCAATCAATCAAGAGACCACCGCTGGAAGAGACAATAAATCTGTGAGACTCAAGCACTTACAGTAGTGCCAGCCAAACAATTCCACGGTGCTCATCATTGTTTCTACAATATACCCTATCCCCCGAAACTCACCAATTTGGTTTGCGCCAACACAACAAAGTTCGACGAAATTTGCCAGCGTGCTGTGCGGGACCACCGATTGAGAATGACCACCGTGCCAACGGTGCTCGCCCTTACCATGTACAACGGCGTGCAGCGATCGCCCAGGCTGTGGTGCGCCCGAGCATCAGCATGACGAAACGGCCCCGTTGTGCGACACATGCATGTAGCTATGTCCACCTGCGCCATGATAGCACTGCATTGGTTGGCTGTAGAATGAAACGTTCTCCCGTCGGATCTATCCGAATCCGTGGATCCACGCGTCCACCCCTCTACGTCTTCTGTTGTGTCTGAGGACATGTTGTTAGAGACTACCACCACACTGGCATGTCGTCAGAGCACACTCGCTGGCCAAGTGACCACACACCACACACGATACGTAGTTTGTGCAGTTTGGGCCTGCGGGGGTGAAGTGGATACTATGGAGGTGAACGGTGGAATGAAAGATCGCCCCGGATCGCGGATGAACGCGGAGAAACATTTACTGCCCGTCGTCGGATCATGGATGGTCGTGGATCGTGCCGAAGTTCCTTCATGCTGTCGACATACGTAGACTACGGCTTGGGACCGTTACAGCACGGCCATGTCTTCAACGCACACCCGCTGGCCAATTGGCCAACAACGTATGAATGTGCATGAAAACGTGTCCTGCGGCAAGGTGTATATCGAATACCGTGATGTCGCGGTTCCGGTTTTGGTGGTGTGTGGTGGTGTGGTGGGGGTGGGGGGGTGGGATACCCCCCCGGGTGTTTTGTGTTTGAGTTTGGGGAAAGAATGAGAGACAGACACCTGTTAAGACTGAAACACTTTGTGCCAGCCAAACTCCCAATCAATCAAGACCCCGCTGGAAGAGACAAATGAATCTGTGAGACTTAGTGCCAGCCAAACAATTCCAGGGTCTGCTGTCATCCACGGTGCTTACCATTGTTTGTTTCTATACCCTATCGCCCGAAACTCACCAATTTGGTCTGCGCCAACACGACGAAATTCGACGAAATTTGCCAGCGTGCTGTGCGGGACCACCGATTGAGAATGACACCGCCGTGCCAACGGTCGTTGCCAACGGTGTTCGCGTAGCGATCACCCAGGCTGTTGTGTGCCCGAGCATCAGCATGACCAAAAGGGCCCCGTTGTGCGACACATGTGCATTGGTATGCTACGTGTATGTCCGCCTGCGTCATGGCCCGCTGGTCGGCTGTAGAATGAAACGTTCACCCGTCGGATCCATCGGTGGATCCGTGTCCACCCCTCTACTTCTTTTGCTGTGGCTGGAGGGCATGTTGTTGGATACCGCCACAACACTGGCATGTTGTCAGAGCACACTCGCTGGCCAAAAGTGACGACACACCACATACGACATGTAGTTCGGGGGTGAGGTGGATATCATGCTGGTGCACGGTGGAATGAATGATTGCCTCCCTGGGTCGCGGACGGATCAAGATATTTTCGTCGGATGGTGTCCCTTTGTACTCCTTTTGCTGTTCACACGAGTTGTCGGAGTCAGCCACCTCACCGTAACATGTTCACCGCACACACTCACGCTGGTCACATGGCCAGACAAGTGGTACCTGCATACGCATCCTGCGGCGAGGTGGCTACGTACAAATGGTTTCATGTGAAATATCGCATGGGATCACGGATGATCAAGTGCCGCAAGAGGCGGACAGAGGGCACCCCCCCTAGACCGACTTACAACGTTCCATCGCGCAACCAAGGGGGTGCGCACAGAACCCGTCTACGGAAAGCCCTGGGCGGCATGTTTCCAAAAGCCACCATTTTTGGTGGTGGCACAAGCTTGGTTGTGGAGCAATCGAGCTCTGAAAATCGGTCAAAGGGCTTGCCATCCCTCCGCCTCGAACGGTAAATTTTCGTTTGATCAAGTAGGGATCGCGATCACAACTTTCATTCGATCGAAACAGAGAAACTTCGGACAATAAAACCATTATTGCTTTTTTCGGGGATAGCGCTCACTACCCCAATTTGCAACTGGGGTAATGTGAGAAAAACCTCTCCGTTGGTGCCACCGCACCGAGCTTCGAACTTACCCCACAAGTCAGAAAAATGAAACATGATAACCTTACCAACTGAGACTCCGGTGACCACCATAGCAGCCTTATCGCTCTACGAAGTGCTACATGTCGCAAGGGCAACGGTAGCTGTTGCCATGCGGAGACATACCTGCCCGATCCTGGCAACGGAAAATCTTTCACCACAACCAAAATATGAAGAAACCAACACCACCGGTCACTACAGTCCCGGTTCCCCTCGCAGCGGGTCGATTAAAAAAAAACGCCGCGCTCGAGGGGATCAAACCGACACGAGACACAATAAAAGAACCCAGGAGAATGTGGTTTTCACGCACGCCGAACAACATCATTAAAAAGAGACTACCATAAGTCACACCTAGAGGTTGGTATCCGGGTCTTGCATGCTCAATATTAGAGTATCAATGGAACACGCCTTTCCACTTCCAGGAAGGGGACGGATATTCTTAGGAAACGCGAAAAAAATGCAGCTCTCGAGTAGATGAGCCGAGAGGGAATATGATTCAATACACTTGCACACTACAAAAAAAAATTCCTACTTGCACGATGTACATGTGGTATTCTACTATTCCAGGCAGACCACCACCTTTGCCTCCTGGGTCGCCCGGTGGAGAGTCGACATCACCAAGGGTGGAGCAGGCTCCACAAAAATCCACCAGAGCATTCGTCGACAGCAACAAAAATAACACGCATTCAAACCGAGTACATACGTGGGGGACCAAGGGACCAACCAGAAAAAATCAGGAGCAGCAGCAGCGACCAACGCCGCCGGAACATTTGATGGCGTGGGTGACGCAAGATGCCTCCACCAACTACCCCCAAAACTGTACAACGGGAGAAGTCCTCTCGACAACGGCCGGAACATCGGCGAACAACGCTTGGTGTAGGGGCACGGGGGCCGGAAACCGTCGCGGGAGCCGCACACGACCAGCAACAGCAACCCCCTCTTTCCCGCCATAATCATCCATGCCCTAGCGCCTCTCCCACCCTCACGCTTGACGGCGAACAGGCACCTTCTCCCCCGCTTCTCCGCTGAACAGGCCCTCCTTCTTTTCCGCGACTCTCTCGGCGGCGCTCGCGACCCTCTCCTTGTCCACGCCAGCGAACATCCCCTCCGCGGCATCGCTTAGGAGGCCCTGCTCGGGCCCGTGCAGGACGCTCACAACCTCCCCGACGACGATGGTGGCCGGCGCCTTCACCTTCAGCCCGCGCGCCACCTTCGAAATCGTGTCCACGGTGCCCTTGATGACCCTGCCAAGCGTTGTAGCATCAAGCAGCGCGGAGGGAGGAAACGATGGGCAGGCGGTGGTGGTGGGGGCTGCAACAACGGGAGGGATGCGTGTATATGCCTTCGTAGGGAAAAGAGGAGTGAATATCGGCATCGTCAAAGGAGCCAACTTATGGAGAGTATAAAAGAGAAGCCACGGCTACCAGAGTTTTCGAGCTAGGGCAAGCGAACCGAACTCCCACGCCATCACCGAACATTTTTTCCCGTCCAAACTCCGCCACGATAAAAACGGCCACCGCCACCATGTATGGACTCAGGACGAAATACACACAAGGGCGACCCACCGCTTGTCGTAAGCGCAAGAGACACAAGACTACCAGAACCAAACCCCACTACAACACAACCGAACAGACCGTGGCGTCTGCTGCACGCGCGACGCAGAAAGCAGCCCCCCCCCCGGACGACTCAATACCTTTGTCGAGGAGTGGAGGCGTTCTCGATGATGGCCACGGGGGTGTCTGTCGGGTAGGAGCGGCGCACGAGGTCTGCGCACAGCTCCTCCAAGCGACCGATCGCCATGAGGAAGACGGCCGTCTTCTGCGGGTGGTAGTCGCAGATGTCCGGGCGCGCGTAGTCCTGCCCGTAACCGGTGCCCAGGGTTACCTGTCCGACCGTTCGAGGGGCGTTGGGCGGTGAACGAACGTCCGGGAAAAGCATCTATGTACATACTCCCCTGCATCAACCATACATGACACAAGATAAGACACCCCACACAGTCTACCGCGCCCGGTGGCAATACGTTCATGGATCCAAGAGATAGACCTACTGCCAGATCAAGTAGTAGGGCGGCATACGAGACCACACATACACCCACGGAGCCGTAACACACCCGGTGATACTTCTGATATACAAACTAATGTATTTTGTAGGGGGTGCTTTCCTGTGTCGCAAACAGAATACCGCGAAGTACCGGCGCAAGAGGTCAATACAAGGTGCCTCCAAGAATTCATGCCAACAAGAAGCGCTCGCAAACACACGCCCGCAATCGAGAACGAAAGCGCGTGACAAACAAAGAACTCCAGATACAAATGTTCAGTGTATAGGCTTAAACAATAAGCCCAGTTCTCAGCTGCTTTCCCTCTACTCACTGTTACGACTTCAGCACATCCCTCTCGACTGTGGTTATATCTCGAACGGGTAGTCTTTCTGTGAGATTATGGTTGACTTTCTAAGGAACTCCCCCGCTGTGACCCCCCTCCCCGTTCACCTGTGTCGCAACCCCCCGGTGGGTCACGGGGACCCCCCCGAGCAAGGGCGCCGAAAACACCGAGGATATCCCCGGCACCACCTTCGGCTCCACCCCCAGCTCGCGCATCACCAGGACCTCCTCGCCGCCCCGGCCGAAGATGAACGGGTCCCCGATCTTGAGCCGGACGACGTGCTTGCCGGCAGACAGCCCCTCTCGCATCCAGCGGTAGATCTCGCGCTGGGCCTGTTCCGCGCAGCCCGGGTACTTGCGCGCCACGCGCAGCTCGCCTTCTACCTGATCGCGATTTCGATTCGGGATGAGGGGGTCGGGTTGTTATTGGAAGAGGTATCTTCACACGTTATTTTCATTGTATCTTAGGGCGTGTCTTAACGCTCTAGACCAAACAGGGAACAGGGAACTCGGAATTCCCTGTTCCGTGTCGTTGTGTCTTAACATACACCTCATTTCCAGGGAACATGGAACACTTGGGCGCGCGCGTGCGGCCCGCATGTCCTCAAAGGTAACAAATACAACCATCGGATGCAGAAAGACGAGTGGGGGGTAGATGAAGGAGGAGGTGGTGTAGGTTTCGAAGGAACCTGCTGACGAGCGCACATCAAATACGTGTGCTAGGTATCGGCAAGAACAGGCGGTGCTCGTCATGCAACCCGCACCCTCGCCAGCAGTGCTCTGGAAGGCTTGCTTTTTGAGTTGTGGTCCATGGCAGCTTGCCGTTTCTTCGACACTTTATGTTCCTCCATACAACGGCCTCGCGACCATCCGCCGCCGTTTTTTTTGCATGCGAGTCCAAGCGAGACACGCGATGATGGCGGCAATGCTTGTATACTGCTTGAACTGGTAGCATGCAGCCTGTGGCAGCCACATGCCCGAGAGTGATCACACACATCCCATCACGTCCTGAATTGCCACCGAAGAGCCCGTGTTTCACGTTCCCTATGGTCTGTTGGCTAATTTTAATGAACTTTTTCCTTAAAATTATTGTGCGACGTAACTACCTCAAACAGGGAACGTGTGTCGCATTTCTTGTTTCCAAGAAAGTTATTTTATGTGGCCAGCCAATCAGACAATGATTCCGAGTTCCCTGTTCCCTGTCCAGAACAGGGACGTTAAGACACTCCCTTCCTCAGAAGTATTTCTATTGGAATCACCCCGTTATGTTCAGGACGTCCTTGTCCTCATACATTTCGGTACAATTCTTGGACGAACCAACCCGAGGTCAGACAGGAGGAAAAAACACAAGGGGGGTTTCTTTGTCCGCGTGGTGATTCCCTTGATTTCTATCGCTGTTATGGAAGGTTTCTCGGCCGTTCCTTTCCTTTTGTTGCGACCGTGAAGTCGGATATTGTAATTTTGTATTTTTCACGTAATTCAACTGCTGTACGCAGGAAGTTATCGCACTCCAACATTGTTTGGGCATACATACCGCTGTGAGAAATCTCCCAGATCGTGTGACTGCACCGAGATTCGAACCCACGTTCCAAACACCAGACAACTGCGAGGTTACCTTCTATTGTGTACTATGTCTGTGTTCGCGATGTTCAGCCGGAGGTTTGGATAAATTCCGTTCGCCTGCCAACATATGGTAGTGGATACCTTGGGCACCACTGGCCGAAATTGGACAGGAGGACAAGATGTTTTGGCGCCCGAAGAAGGTTCCCCGGTGAAAGAGCATGTAGGGTTACGGTTGACAGAAGGCACAGGGCGACCACAAAGAACGACGTTCTCTAAACAAGAAGGCTTGGTAGGAGAATGCTTATGTACAAAGGGACAGCAGTAGTTTTACGGGAACAATCTGAGCAAACATGCAGCAACCGTCCCAAAACCTTGCGCGTACAAAACGTGCGACCTCAGCTTGCGGCACGGCCAGATTGTGTTGTGCTGCCGAGAAGTTGCTTGGCAGTTCATCCGTTTTGTTTCTTCACTCCGCACAGCAGTCAATCTTGGCGACCTTTGTAGGTTGTTGCCGTCACAATCAGCAATCAGCCGAACCAAACTCTCCGCTTGACTCAAATCACACCGATACGAACCGTTATTTCGCCACAGCAGGCAGTCTGGCGCTACTCTCTGGGTAGGTGGCTCCTTCCCCTAGAGGGGCACTCAGACCACAAGCCCGACTTGCAGCCTTGCTCCAATAGTCAGCTGACGCAAGCAAGCAACACCCATGCATAGCAGCAGCGGTGCCAACCTCGGCGAGACTGCTGTAAAAGCGCGAGTATAACACACCCAGAAGTGATGTCTCCGCTGGCTGGCAGTTATGTGGCAGTTGCATTCGACCGACCGTCAGCAGGGTTTGACGTGTTCCCCTTTGCAAAAAAAAAAGCTCACCAGTCCCAGTATCTCCTTGGAGACGAGCCGGTCCGCGATGACCAGGTCGGCCGACTGCAGCTCCCGCAGGCCGGCGACCGTGAGCAGGTCGGGATCGCCGGGCCCGGAGCCCACTAGGGAACACGTCCCGATCTCCACCCCGTCCCTCGGTTCCCAACCGTCCGTGTGGTCTGTGGGGACAACACCGCCCGCTGGCGCCGACCCAGCGAGAGGAGAGGAGGAGGAGGAGGAGGAGGAGGACCAACGAGGATACCCGCCTTGTAGCAGCCCCCGTCTCTGCTGGCTGGGATGCTGCTGAGACGCTCGCCCTGCTGCTGGCGCAACTGCTGCTGCTGCTGCTGTTGCGGAAGAAAAGGGGGAGTGCAACGTGCCGGCGGGCGGCGGCACAAAGGCCGACGCACTCCCGTCGCAGGTCAGGGTCACCGCCAGCATCGCCGCCAGCGCCCGCGGACGTCTTCGTCGCCTCGTTGATTCTGTCATTGTGTCTGGGAAAAGCTCGGTGGACAGCAGTGGTGGCGCGTTGTGTGCGTGTGTGTGACGTGAGTGAGGTGCAGCACAGCAGTCACAGTCGCGCAGCAACTGTGCCGCCAAGAGGGGGCTCGCAGATGGTTTTATGGATAGGACAGATACCTCAGTGCCTAAGACGGGTTCCGGACCATTTCTGTGCCCCCCATTTCGGTGGTCGATGGTGCAGTCAAACTACAGCTAGGCAGGCAAGGAGCGGAGGAGTACCGCGACCGCAGCAGCGGGTTACCCGTCAAACATGGTGAAGCTGGATGTGACCTGCATGCGCCATCTGTCGAAGCACGACATCAGGGTGCTCACGGCCGTGGAGGTAGGTGGTTGCTCGTGCAAGCTTGGGTCACCACTTGCGCATCGTAATACACGTACCCACAGGCACCAAGCACGGACATCTGTTCGTTCCTAGCTCCTCCAGCGGCAAGGCCTCAGGCAGCCTGGTGTACAAACTAACTGGTTACACGGTGGCCATCCGCACCATTTTTGACGGGTTCTCGCTGCCCCTGGCCTACGAGTTCACCAACGACGAGTTTGAAATACTAGTTGGTCCCCGTAACAAGGTACAAGGCGGTAGGTTACCCCGCCACTTGCTGTTACTGCTGTGCATACGTTTTTTCTTTCCCTCGTTCGTTCACGGCGGGGACGCCGTTGTTGGCATGATTCTGTAGAGAGCCATAGGCTGCTGTCTATGCGTGCTGCTGTCGTGCCGTCGGCCTGCCGCAGGGAGTGACCAGCCCTCGGCAACCGGAAGACGAAATGTCAGATTATTTGACGGCATGTCCAATACATATGTAGGCGTGCATGTATGGCGACCTCCCTCACAACGGTGATGCCACAAGAGGCAGTGACGAAGCAACTACTTAGAAGTACATGTAGATACAGATAGAACGCGGAGAGGGAAGGGGGAGAGGAAACGCAGCAACAATGGCTGCTGGGTTGTCGTGTTGCGTCCCGCGACGTTTTACTCCCATCAGAACGAAGCTGGCTGCATCCGTTCCCCTGCCATGGAGTACTCGCTGCACCTGTCGCCACGATACGTGATTGGCCGAACGTGCTGCCCCTGGGGGGTGGGAAGCCCTAATCCTTGTCTCTAACGCCCGCTTGCTTGCGCCATTGGCTTGCTTCTTGCCGCAGATGGGGATGAAGAACCACGACCTCGTGCCCGTGGAGCTGATCTCGAGCATCGCCAAGCTCCGGCACGGCGGAACGCACAGGATACTGTCCACCCTCCTCACCTTCAAGCTCATCGCTCACGACCGCTCCTCCTATGACGGTCAGTGCGCGCCGCCCGCCCGAGTGGGGGCGTACTGTGCCGTAAGAGGCGGACATATGACCCCCCCAAGACCGATTTTCAAAAGATCGATTACTCCTAAGCGAGCTTATACCAACACCAACAATGATGGTTTTGGAAACATGTTGTCGAGGGCTTTCCGTAGACGTATCGGGCCCTTTCCGTACCCCGTTTGGTTGTGGAGCCCGCTGAACTTCGAAAGTCCATCAACTGCAGGGGAGGTGCGAACTTTCCGCCTCTTGCGGTACGTTGAGGTGGCCGTGGTGACTTGGTTCGCCCTCGGTCACTGCTGTGCCGAGTATAGTAGGAAAGAAAAATTGTGCTTCATTGGGCATTTGTTTTGTTTTCAACACGGAGAACGTTGAAAGGTTCCCAGGCATAGCCCCTAGCGTGCACCCGGCGCTTGTAGGTCAGGACGCCAGGACCTGGACTTGCCTTTCGCCCAACGTTGGGCATCGTTTTCCACAACCGAGCCTCTCTCGCCGCCCCCGCTCAACGTTCTCTCCCCCGTGCGGACGGGGCTCGTTGGCGTTTTTTTTTCTGGCCAATACCACCCCCCGCAGCACCCTACAGTTCGCGCCCTCACGTAAGCTTGCTGCAAACAAATGGAGCCTTGACAAACTTAAAATCTTCTTAGAACTTCAACACGATTTATGTTCAAGAGCCCCTACGCTATAAATTGAACCTATGTAGCGGCCTTTTGTAGCCTTGCCCTATGCATTGGAACTATCAACTCCAGCCACGGCCTAAAGTAGATGCGCGCGCTCACGTTACTACAACTTCTTGTCGTGTATCAGGGTACCGGCTGACGTACTCGGGGTACGACATCCTGGCCCTCAATGTGCTCCAGGCCCGGGGGCACATCTGCGCCGTCGGCAGCAAGATCGGCATGGGGAAGGAGGCCGACATCTACATGGCGCAGACCCCCGACGGGGACCAGGTGGTGCTCAAGCTGCACCGCCTGGGAAGGACGTCGTTCAAGGCCGTCAAGAACAAGCGCGACTACCTCAAGAGCCGGACGTCGGTGTCCTGGCTGTACATGTCGCGGCTCTCCGCGCTGAAGGAGTTCGCCTTCATGACGGCGCTGTTCCAGCACGGGTTCCCGACGCCCACGCCGCTCGATCACAACAGGTGTTGAGGCGTTTTCGTGTGGATGGATGGATGGGTGGGTGGGTGGGTCCCGTTTCTCCGCTCATGTGTGCTGTTTGTCGCCTTTTTTGGTCAGCTCGAGTTTCTTGATCGCTGGTGCTCTGTGGTCGGCTCCAAACCGCGTTTGGCTCCGCCTCTTGAGATCGACGCTTGGGCCAAGGAAGCACGTGAACTTCGACATAGAACCATGTGCTCTACGCTGCGATACCCGTTTGAGTGGGGGTTCAATTGCTTTTGCTCTTTGTCGGGTGCTATTCTCGTGTGGACATGATTTTCCCGACGGGTGAACGTGTGATCCGGGGCAAACCTCACCGTTATGTGCGTTAAAGACAGGAGTACCCGACAATCCGCTGGGGACGGACCGCCGACCCGGGCTACACCTAGCTTGGCGAGTTCGGCAAAGCTCGATCAATCGATCGTTTGCCGTCGCAATGGCGTACTCCAACAAATATGTCGACGTGTGTCAATTCGAAAGAGCGAACGCACCAAACAGCGACAATCGCTCCACAGAAAAGTGTTGGAGAGAGGAGATTGCACTTTCAGTGCCGCTTGGGGAAACTGGCAGCGTACTCTTCTAGAGGCGCATTTTTCGCTGCCCTCCATTCCACTCCATTCCGCATGTGAGGAGAGTAGAACCACGGGAAAGACAACAAGCACCTTGCGGACAACCGATGCGTCCTGGTCTGTCGTCTTCGTCGTCATTATCTTCTTTTATCGCCCGTCGTTTCGATTCAAGGGTGCGGCACGGGCGTGCTCCGTGCGAGCCGGGTGGTCTGAAAAACCGGTGTCTTTTTTTTGTTTTGTTTTTGGGCAGGTCTCACACTTGCTGTTCCGCGTGCTGCTTTGTCCGCGCTTGTTTTCTTTTTGGTCAAACCAATCGAATTGCAAAAAAGGCACGTTGTTCTCATGAGCCACGCGAAGGGGTACCCCATGTACCAGCTGAGGAGCGGCGAAATGGGGCACCCGGACGTGGTCTACCGGCAGTGCGTGGAGATGATCGTCCGCCTGGCCCGGCACGGCCTCATCCACTGCGACTTCAACGAGTTTAACCTTCTCGTGGACGAGGAGGAGAGGCTGACGCTCATCGACTTCCCGCAGATGGTGTCCACTCGCCACGTCAACGCCGGAGAGATGTTCGATCGGTGAGAGAAGAGGCTTGTCACACACGTACAGCGGTGTCCCCCGTTCGCTCCGAAATGTTCGGTGGCTGTTGGCCATCGGTCACACTCTCGGGGGATCCACTCTCTCTGCCGGAATGCGGCCCTAGTCCATATTTCGTGCCGAGGTAAGTTGTTGTGTAGTGCTGCGGCGTGCGTTTGTTTTTTTAGCTTTTTTGCCGCGGAATTCTCATCGGCTGTGTATGGCTCGTTGTCGGTGCGGTACTCTTTTTTTCGGGCCGTGGCCACGTGTGCCACTCATCTGGGCATAGGACTCTCTTTGCACGGGACTTAAATCATGGGGGGGGGGTGTACTCATAGTCGTGCATGCCGTAGTCGTTTGACCATTGACCTCGCATCCCTACAAAGCCGGGACGGAGCACGCCGGGTTCTCACCGGACCAGGCTCTCACATCACCAAGCGCGAAGCGCCGTGAGGTATTTGGCGAGTCGCATGAAGGGTGAGCTGCATCCTGCTAAGGGTGTTCGGCATCTTGTGCTTACTTCCTTGCCTACGGATGACAGCTACGTATGACTTGATTTATTTTCTGGTGCTTTCACTTCCATGGGGGGGGGGGGTTACTTACCTGTGGGGGGGAACCCCTTTGTAGTTGCCGGTTTGTCTGCCAACTCTCTGGCTCGGGCCGCATGCTCTGTCCACCGTCCCAGCGGTCTCCAGCGTTTGTAGGGCGAATCTCTCCCCCCCCCCCCTCTCTCTCTACTAGTAAACCGCTCGCCCTCTCCCCCTTCGTCTTTCTCGTTCTCGTTCTTACTTCTCTCTCCACTCACTTGCATTTCTGGCGTTGTTCATTCCAACGACCTTCTGCATGTCCAGGGACGTCGCGTGCGTGGTGAAGTTCTTCTCGATGAAGATGAAGCACGTGCCGGAGCCGAGCGACATCCCTTCCTTCGCGGACGCTGTTGGTGGGGCGGGCCGCGAGGGTGTGGAGCATCACCTGGACGTGGTCGCACAGGTTTGTGACGCATCACATGCACACGGGGAAAGATGGCCCCCCCCCCCCCCCCTCCTCGGGGGCACAATGATTTGGGGTCGACGACTCCACAACGCGGACAAGACCAGTGGAGTAGAAAACAATGCTCCTGGTTTGACAACCTCTCGGCGTCGGCGATCCTCCCCATGATTGACGAGTCCAAAGGAAACGTCAATCGGATCGGGGATAGTGCCGGGGTTTTTTTTGTATTGTGTTTCATGTGTGGAAGATGTGCGGACCGCGCAACTCCTTTCGCACCTGCACGCGCTTGTGGCGCTGCATCCTTTATTCCTGGGGGGGCTTGGCGAAGAAGTGCCGAGATATGCATAGTGGCGGCAAAAAACTGAGAAGTTCGTTCGGAGATCTGCCTCTTTCTTTTACATGTGTTTCGTAGTTGTATCTAGTACAGCTTGTGGCCGTGGCCGTGGTTCCCAATAAGTTATTTTTGAGATCTGTGTCCGTGTACGTTCATGACTGCACAGGCATCTGGTTTCTCGGAGAAGGAGGCCCACGACCTAGACGCGTTCGTTGCCACCGAAGGCTGGGGAGGGGGCGACGCAGATGGCGATGAGGAGGAGGAGGGGGGAGAGGAAGAGGGATTAAACAGCGACGGTGAAGTCGACGAGGAAACCAAAGGATCAAAAGCGAGGAAGGCAAGAGGGGGAAGGGACGACGGTGGGGTTGAGAGCGAACAGGAGGAGGAGGAGGAGGAGGAGGGGGACGATGCGGCCAAGTGCAGCAGTGGCAGCTGTGGCGAGGAGGGCGAGGGCGAAGGCGTGCGAATACGACGGGTGAAGGCGCCAGAAACGGTCACGAAACGCGCGCACGCAGCCGTGCAGCGGCAGCGGAGGGCGGCCGGGGCGGGCGGCGGAGTGGGGAAGCCCACGCGAAATCACCAGAAGAAGAGGGAGAAGGGCAAGATGCTGTACAAGCACCGGGACTTTTGAGAGAGCGATGCCGTTTGTTTGTTTGTTTGGGTCAGCATGGGGCCGGCGAAAACCCGACATATCGCTCCGTCCCGACGATGTAAGGATGCCAGGTCAATGGCCGAACGACCACGGCATGCGTTTACATGAGTACACCCCTTGGCCAAAGGATCAAAACGGATGTCCCCTTAATCTGTAAGTAAGTCCCACAGCGGTCCTCCTGATTGTGTATACCTCCCCCAAGAGAGACGTGAGGCAACAGTATGTCGGCTATTCCTCTCCGTTACTGATGGTTGTGTCGTGGATACACCTTGACCGACTTGGCGTGTTCTTTTAAGTCTTTCCCCCCGAGCCTTGTCGAGTTGATCAGCGCCGGGCCACGGGGACGGCCGGCCGGGCCTTCCTCAGGTTTCATTGGCGGGAGTCTGCTGTGTACCCTTGCTTGTTTTATTTGCTTTCGATGTCGTCTATGGACCATTTTTTCGGAGAGAAAGAAAACGTGCCTGTGCATATGAGTTACGTCCGCGACGAGAACGGTCTAGTGCCGGTCCTTGAGGCCCTGTTGTTCTATGGCTTTATTCGGCCGCCGATCGTTCTGTCAATGTTCGGGGACAATCGTGCGACCATCTGGTGCAGTCACGTCGACATCGACCGAAGTCAACTGCCGAGATGTTTCGAGTTTATTTATCTACCCCCCCGCGAGGCCAATGGTCTAACGAGTACGGGTACACACACACCCAAGTTCCCAAGCTCTAGCTTGGTTCTCAGTCGATCAAAAGTCTTTTTTTTCCGTCTGTGGAGTTTTCAGTAGCATAGCGGACCCCTTGCCCGACCGGGTCGAAAAGGCCGATCTCAGCCCACACTGCGAACCTCCGAGAACTACCAGCAGTTCTGGGTAGCTGAGACGATTTCAAGACCTCTCACAGTCGTTTGAGCATCTATCGCTTGCTGTGGGGCGATAACCAGTTTCTCCGTCGACAAGAAGATCTGCGTTACATCGTCACATCGGAACGACCAGATTGGTTGACTTGTCGTTGAGGGTCCTCTTTTTATAGATCTTTTTGTATAAGAGTCGTCTTCATTTTTTTCGCCGCCCGCGCCAACCCTTCTTTTTACAGATCTTTTTATATAGAGTCGTCTTCTTTTTTTCGCCGCCCGCCCCAAGCCTTGCTTGCTTCTCTCGTGTCCCGCGCCAAGCCTTGCTTGCTGGCTACGCTTCTCTCGAGATGCTGACCGACCTCAGCACACAGCTGGACATTCTGTGTACATACAGCAGGAGCTGCTTTTGTTCTGTTGTTGCAACTTTCTGCATGGATGGCTCTTTTGTGGTGCGAAAATTAGCATTTATTGTTGTTGTTGATGTGCGGACGAGAGGACGAGAGTGGTAGGCAAAAGCAGTACGTACCTGCAAATCTCCGGCAACTACCAGCAGTTCTGGGTAGCTGAGACGATTTCAAGACCTCTCACAGTCGTTTGAGCAGCTATCGCTCGCTGTGGGGCGATAACCAGTGATTTTGTGATTTTCTTCCTTAGTCTATAGTGACCGTTGTACACATGCGGTGGCTGCTGTTATGCTCGGAAGATGCTGCAAAGGTCATAAGGTTATCGTCTCTGTCGCTTGGGCTGCACGCCGTGCTCGCGTAGGAGATGCGCATTCCTCATTTTTTCTCTGTGCCGATATCCATGAAGAAAAGCAACGGCAGCACGGTTGAAGATACAGACAACAGACGGTCCGCCATACCCTTTTTTTTTTCTTCTCTTACATGCATGGATGTGTGGTAAAGCATCGCAAGCGTGTTGCTGCCTTACTTACCTTTAGTGTGCTGCGTAGTCGTAATTTGAGCGATAAGGGGTAGATGGCAGGACAACAATCTTATTTGCGTAGTGAGGTTTGACAACTGGTCGTTCGTGGAACGGTGCGCGTCTATCGCGACGGCAAGCGTATTGAGAAAATAGTTCGTCCGTGGTGCTTCTCGTCATCATTTTCTATTTCGTTGTCACTTCATACTTCATACCACAAGTGATGAAAGAGAGTCTCCACAGTTAGTTCGGAAACGGCGACTATATTTGGTTTGTTGCGTTTGTTGTTGCTGAGCACACATCGGATGTCGTCGTTCGTTACAGCCTGCGGTGGGCCACAGGGACGAGAGTGAGTGTCTTCGGTTAGGGTCTCGAGAGTTAATTAATGCCTTCTCTACGCTTTCTTCTGTTGATCTACGTAGTAGTAGCACCTGTCTCTCCTTCTCGCCTATTATCGCCGTTGGGGTCCCAACAACATCGAACGTCAACCGCAATCGTTTTTCTTCTTGCTGAGTAAGAGGCTATTTGTGTAGTACGTACCCGGCTGCTGTATGTGAGGCGATGGGCGCTGCCTCTTTACTTGAAGCAACGGGGGCATGGCCCCTATAATGTTTGCTGCATGCTGTGCTATGTGACAGCTTCCAGCGGTTCAGAGCGGCGACGGTGGTTTTCGTATGCTCTCTTTTGCCACCTCCCTGAAGCCTGTCGCGTCTGGCTCACTTGTCTTTGTCGTCCCTTCTTCTTTTTCTTTTTTTTCTTAACATAGTCTATATTTTATTTTTCCGCTTGCTTTTTGGGGTCCGCCGGTCATCCGCCCACCACCCATTAGTTCAGTTTTAAATGTTGTTGTTGTTGTTGTTGTTGTTGTTGTTGTCTTCGCATTAAAAACCGTTCAGATCTCTCTCTACCCAGTACCTTCATATGTGCGTACTGATCCAACACTTGACGCGGTCGATTCCCGTGGTCACAGGCTAACTTACCCTAAAGAGGTACGCTAAAACAAACTGGCCCCGAAAGGTCCGCAAGTCAATAAAAATCAACGACAGATATTCTTTGGAACGGGGTGTTTACTTGCCATCTCTATGCAAGTTTCACAATTAATTTTGAAGCTTTTCTGAAGCTAGTTGAAACAGTAGTGTCATCGTTCGATATCCGTTCGGTGAGGAATCAATCGCAAATCATGACCCGTCCCCGAGTTGTAGCAGCTTCCGCCTCCTGGGGCCGGCAAGAGTCGGCCTTCACTGCTGTACCTTGTCTGTTTCGCCATGGGAATGGCCGGTTCAAAGCGAAAGAGGGTCCTGCGTGCTGCGCGCCACCACCTTTTTTTTTTTGCGTTTGTTTGTTGTTGTGATTTTCTTCCTGAGTGACCGTTGTTGTACATAACATGCGGCTGCTGCTGTACACATACTTGCGGTTGCTGCAGTATATGCTCGGAATGTGCTGAAAAGAAAGGTCGTAAGGTTATCGTCTCTGTTTTTTTGGGCTGCACGCGTTGCTCGCGTAGGCGATGCGCGTCTCCTACTTTTTTCCAGTGTCGTTGTCGGCAGCACAGTCAGTTGAAGAGACAAACAACAACAGACGGTCCGCCTTGTTTTGTTTTGCTGCATGCATGGTTGGTATGCATCGGCACGCGTGTTGCTTCCTTGCCTTGAGTCTGCTGCGTAGTCGTAATTTGAGCGATAGGTAAGCTAGATGGCAGCACAATCTTAGATACTACGTAGTGAGGTATGATAACCAACAGCTCGTTCGTGCAGCGGTGCGCATCTATGGCGGACGGCAAGCGTATTGCGATAATAGTTCGTCCGTGGTGCTATGTAGTCGTGCTCTTTTTAGTTCTCACTTCCTACAACAAGATAGTAGTCCACAGCTCGCACACGGCGACTGACTATATTTGTTTGTTGTTGTGCTTGTTTGCTGTTGCTGAGCCGACATCGGATATCGCCGTTCGATACACAACGTGACATCATGTCTGACAGCCTGCGGCGGGCCAGAGGGACGAGAGTGAGTGTCTTCTCGACAGAGTCAATGCCTTCTCTTCTCGAGAGAGTCAATGCCTTCTCTTCTCGAGAGAGTCAATGCCTTGTCTTCTCTCCGCTCTCGTATTTTTGTCTACCTCTCTTTCTCTCTCTCTCGCCTTTCGCCGGTAGGGTCCCAACAACATCGAACGTCAACCAACCGCAGTCGTTTCGCTTTTTGCTGAGTAAGAGGCTACCCGTGCATCCGGCTGCTGCATGTGAAGCGATGGGCGTTATGCCAAGCAATGGACTTGGGCCCTACCTAATATTTGCTCCATATGTAGTGCTATGTGAGAGTTTCCAGCGGTCCGGAGCGAGCGGCGACGGTGCTTTTCTTCTATGCGCTCTTTTGCCTCCTCCCTGAAGCCTGTCGCGTCTGACTCGTTTGTTCTCGCTTCTTTCTTTCTTTTGTTTTTCATGCTTTTGTTTTTTGGGGTCCCCCGGTTCCTGTGTGCTCATCGGGCATCTTCTTGGTGTCTACCTTGATTGTTACCCGCTGCAAAAATCGAAAGCTTCAGACAGGCAACGCGACGATACTCGTCGAGATGCCATACACAATGAATTCATTGCTAATCTGTCTCAGACTCTTTTCTATGATGGAGATGGATTCGTTGTGTCATATTAAGAAGAATAAACATAAAAAAACATCCTGTCGTTACTCTATCGATACCTCACACCCACCCCTACTCACGCCGACGCAGACACAGACAGGCAGACTCAGCTCTTTCGCCTGTGCTGTATCTGTTGTTCGTGCGTGCTGAAAAATGGTACATACAGCAGCAGCTTACCGCAGCAGGAGCTGCTTTTTGCTTGTTTGTACAGCTTTTCCTGCAGGGATGGCTCTTGTTGTGCGGCAAGTTGCATTGTTTGTTGTTGATGCGGACGAGAGGACGAGAGTGAGTGGTAGGCAAAAGCAGTACGTACCGTGTTAAAGGGACAGACAGAGTGCCTACCGTGTGTATGTAGACGTTGCATTTCGTGATTCCCGAGGATCGGATGTATGTGTTGTTTTTTTATTGCGTACCCGCGTCCATCACGACCATTATTGCGTAGTGTGTCGGCTAATTAAGGTCCTTCCCGTTCGTGGTGTCAGCACACGCGCAACACGCGACTAAAATAAAAATATAAAGCTTGGGACTAGCAACGCCGACGATATTCGTCGGCTTGCTTTCAACAATAAGAAAAAAAGGGGGTGGCGCCAATACACGCAAACCGCAGTGGGATGTCAGCGACGTAGTCTCACGACCCTGCTGAGCGTAATCAATCTGCCAAGGATTGGTGGGGCGAAAGCATGTGTCCCTTTGGAAGGACTTTCCCCGCTCTCTACAGTGCCCCATCGCAGCTCTTCGAGTTCCAGCGGCCCATCTCTCCCCTGGCTTAGTATCCCTTGAAACGACACATATTCCCGTTTACCCTCCCCTCTTTTCTCGTCTTTGTTGCAAGGCACAACAGCTTTTGGCCCCGTTGGCCGAGATCCAGACCGAGTTGGACCCATTGAGCAATCCCCTCCCTTCCAATGGTAGCTAAGCTCTGTCTCACGCTCTCAACCAACCCAGCCATGGCCGGCACTTGTCGAAGGGTCTTCCACCGCATCGCGACAGAACGAGAGTCTCTCCACCCTTCCTCATCATGCAAAGACGTGACAGGTAGGGTGGACAACTTCCGTCCCGATCCCCGTTTGTCCCATTTTCACTCTTATTCGGTTCCCCTTTCCGTCATATGTAGGGATCATGAGATTACTCCGGCCTTGAGTCTACACGGCGTTCGCTTGTTATACCTCTCGGAAAATCTCCCCATTCTCTCACCCCTGTCTGAAATCACCCTCTTTGTAGCCTAGGCGCCCTTGACGCCCGCTCCGCTGATCTGCGCGGTGTGCGTTTACTGTAGGGTGCATCATACGCGAGACTTATTATTGAGCAAGTATTTTCAACAACGCTTTTTGAAGCCATAGTGAAAAGCAATTGCTCCTACATATACCTCAAGAGTTTCCCGTGTAAAGCAAATGAGAAGACTAAGGCCACTTGTTAAGCTGTCCTTTTTTGGGCTGTCCCTTTTCTAAAAAAGGGACAACTGACCAAGAACCACTTGTTAGGTGGTCTTTTTTTGCATTTTTGAACCTCCCGAAAAGGGACAGCGAAAAAAGATCGCCCCATCCTGTCCCTTTTTGGGCAACTTTGTGACAGGCTGGGACGGTCCTTTTTTGTTGTCCTTTTTCTGTCACAACACATGACACTTGCCCACAAACTTGAATATCTCGACGGATGATCCCCGCAAACTCTAACGGTATTCGCACGAGTCGTGTCATGTGACTGGTACGGAGTCAGTAGCCTCGGCGATAGACGTAATGTTGTCATTCGGCTGACCAGGTGGACAACCCGATGTGTGCGGCAAACAAGCGGCAAACGAGCCGAAAGAGCCTGGACGCAGCAGCGGTGGGTCTTTTTGGTGCACAGTCAACTTTTGCGAACCCAACTTCTGGGCGACCTATAGCGTCCTGGTCTGTATCAATCACCACACAAGACGAATCAGACGCACAGCTCATGGCGGATACCTTTGTCATCGCTGTTGCTTCGGTGTGTGACGAGGGAGCATCGATGAACCAAAGTTGCAACACGGGGAAAAAGAACAAAAAATATGCTTGGAGACGCGGCGGGTCATTTTTCCCGCTTGTCCACCACTCTCGGGCTCACAACCTCTGACCGCCCGTCAGCCTTCTGGTCTGTATCAACCACCACACAAGACGGACCATACACATAGCTCGTGGCGGATACCTTTGTCATCGCTGTTGTTTCAGTGTGTGGCGAGGGAGCATCCATGAACCAAAGTTGCGGCATGGGCAAAAAAGAGCAAACAAAGCTGGTTGTTGGCGCGGTGGGGTTTTTCAAGGTGCTGTTGACTCTCGCCACCTCAGTTGCCGTGCCTCCCACTGCCCTGTGGTCTCGATCAGCCGCCACACAAGGCGGACCAAGCACCCAGCTCGCGGGGGATAGCTTTACAGTTGCTGATGCTTCGCTCTGTGCGGAGATATCACCGAAAAACCAACTCGGTGCCAAGGTACTCATTGTGTGACGAACGGCCGTTGCACTTACTTGTTGTTGCAGGGTCATTTTTTTTGGCGGATGAGCAAAAAGGATCGACCAGCACCGTAACAAGTGGGTCATCTTTTTGCTAGATTCTTTTTTGGTTCGTCCTCCCTTTTTGAGAAAAGGGACAGCCCACAAAAGGACAGCTTAACAAGTGGCCTAAGAGTTTGACTAAATTAGTTGTCATTTTACTCGATCCACCATGTACGTGCATACATACTCAGCCTACCTGAGTAAACAAGCCTGCCTATGGCGTAAATCGAATCACTCGAAATCTTCATACCTCAGAACTGGGAAGTAAAATACACTACAAATACATTACGCGGTACTCAAAGTTTGACTACATTTGCAAGCAAGAAGCATATGTTGCACTCGATCATACATGTATGCATACATGCATAGACTCCACATACAGCCTGACCCGAGTACAGAGTCTTTGTAAATCAAACCACCCGAAACCTACATCCCTCAGAACTTGAGGAAAACTACACAAACAATGCGCACAGAAGCGGTACTCGAGTTTACTACAGTATGTACACGCTGAATGCATCATTTCTCTTCGACCATAGAATACATACCGTACAACTCAGCCTACCCGACTACCAAGCCCGCGTAATAAATGAAATCACCCCTACACACCTACATTGATTGCATTAATCTGTTGTAGAGTTTGACGGCGATTGAAAATAAACGTTTGACGCGACTGACTACATCACTCAGCCCACCGCGAGGTTTACTCCATGATGTCCCCCGTTCATTCATCATGTTGACGAGTAGTTACAGGTTTCCTGTTTTATACAACATGTATGTGCTAATACTACTACTCGTTCAGAAATTTCAGTACGCACGAGCACCGCGAACCACCAATACTACCGTGCCGTGTACTGAGGGTCGGTAGTCGGGTAGTGAGTGAACACATCACCGTCTAGCTGAACCGTCTTGAATACTCCCGTTGCAGAGAACCGATTTTCGATCAAAGTCCCCCCGAAGCTGCCACCCCCTTTTCCCCCAAGGCTCCTTATTTTCTCCCAACCAAATGGTGGTCTCAGTGAGAAAACGGCTAGTTCAAGCTTCCATCTACTCTGTTCTTCGTTACCCCGACCCCTGCAGTGTAGTGCGCTGATGCCCGGCGAACTCTTGGTAGGCATCCTCTACCAACATGCTTCGATTCTCTCCGCAATAGCCAGGGGGCCACCATCAATGAGTCTCAGCCGATGACGTTGGTTCATCGCCACCATGCCCCCTCTCCACCATGCCAAGTGTGCATGTAATGTAGCGGATGATTCCGAGGAAACACGAAATTCCGACCGATGCTGCTGTGGTTACCACCGACAACAACGATATCCCAACGGATGTTCTGCTGCCAGCCGCCGCCCCCCCAGCGCTGCTGTTGTTCAGAAGGTAACCCCGACGTTGGATCTCCACGTCGAAGCTTGCGTCCCACGCTCTGTTCCTAGAGGCCACGTCTCTGCTGACTATTCGCCGCACCGTGTTGATGTTGAGGACCTGGGTGGCGGTGGCAGAGGAGATGCACGGAAGCAATTTTGCTTGGGTGTTGTAGTTGCTACAGTATGTGTGTGGTGATGGTGCATATTTCGTTGTGTGCCTGGCTTTGCGACAGCCGTTTTTCTCGTTGAAGTTTGACAAGCATATTCACGCTTCATTAAAACAATGAGGCTTGTTGGAACCCCCTGTGCCTTCCCACGGAGGCTACCGTGCCCACCAACGGTAGTATAAATAGATCTGGGGACTTTGTAACTTAATTAACCCAGGACCGATGCAGAAAATGTAAACCTTGATTATCACACGCCCGTCCTCCTCTCCAGCACAATACACAATAAGAGAGATAAGATGAGCATAGACAAAAGTGAACACAATGTGCGTGCTCTCTCTCTCGAGGGCCCCCGCACTTGGACCCCCAATAGCATACCCCCCACACACACGTACTCCCCAGATCGGATCTTGTATCCAAGTAGCCCAAACAAGGCTAGAGGGAAAAAAAGGCACAATAATTACCCATTTCCCACACCTCGCAGTACGGAAATGAAAATACTCGATGCCCCCAGAAAACGTAGGCCACACCGTGAACGGGCAAGCGATCCCACCCCCCTACTACATGTTGAGGTAGAGTGAAGATGTTTCGATACAACGACGAACCACACCAACACTGCCTACGACAGAGGCATGTTTATGTGCCGGCAATACTGCCTAGCTGTGCCATTTAAGCTACAGTTGTCGTAGCAAGTTCACACCGCTGAAAAATCGCGGCGAACACCCGCGAACGTCTCCGCCTGTACCCACCTTCATGGCTTGCACTCACGCACCAAGTTTTGGTAGACATTTGCCGGCATCCGTGCGTCCCTGTGGTCCAACGCATCCCACGTGAGCGACATAAGACGACGTTCAGTGCACGACGCACCACAAGCAAGAACGGATTTTACTCAAAGTCAAGGCTAATTTTCGGTGCTTGGATGATTGAACTGTCACTTCTTCTCGTGCACCTTTTCGTAGTGGTTTTGAGCACGACGGCGCAGACATCCTTCAAGATCGCGACGAAAGAGAACACAAGTTTACCCTCAATTTTCGGTGCTTCCCCCCGGTATGGTTGAACGCATGTCATTCCTCTTGTACTCTTGTCCTGTGATGGTTTCAACGTGACTGCACAGATACGTGTTCACTGACGACGCTGTCAAAGACGATGTATTGGGGTTGCTAAAGTACAGCCAGCAGCCTCACCAGCGGATTCCTAGCGTACTCTTGGATGACCTTCCCTACCCGGTCGGCTTTCGTGGGCTTGCTCATGAATGTGGCCATAACGGCTAGGGCGGCGTCTTTCGTCGACTCGCCCTCCTCAGCCGAGAGCGCGACTATGGGAAGCTCGGGGAACTTCTTGTGGATCTCCTTCGCAGCGGTTATGCCGTCCATCACGGGCATGCGGAGGTCCATGAGGACCAAGTCGTAGATGTTGATCTCCCTCGCCGTCGCCTTCTCCACCGCGATCGCGCCGTTGTCGGCCGTGTCTACGGTGTGGCCTAAGCCCGTGACGATTTTCTTGCACATCTTCTGGCAGATCGTGTTGTCCTCGACGATCAGGATGTGCCTGCTGTCTGAGTTGTAGAGGCTTCCCACGAAGCTCTGCGTGGAAGTCCTCGGTGAGATGGGAGGGAGACTAGAGGGGGTGATCTTGTTCCAGTGGTGTTTCTCCTCCGCTTCCCTCTTGGGCCCCTGAGAACCGTTGGAGCTGGTCTCGAGGTCAAGAACGAAGTTGAACGTGGTCGACGAGCCGTCGGAAGCGACCCGCAAGATGGAGTCCAGGCACTGCACATAGTTGAAAGCTACGTTCAGTCTCAGACCCGGTGCTTCTTCGTCGCAGGATAGCTCCTCGCTCAGCCTCGGAAGATCGGCACGTTCGCCGTCGCCACCCCCTAGCACGTCCGCGTCTCCCAGCCAGTAGTTGTGAAAAACTTTTTCGACGCGGGACTCGTCGAGTTCCTCTCCGCTGTCTGTCACCCTGAACTCGAATTTTCCTCCTCCTCCTGCCCCGCCACCCCCTTTGCCCCCTGCGATGCGCTCGACCGACAGGACTACCCTCGCGGAGACAGGGCTCCTGCCGTCGGCGTGCGCGACAAGCTCGTTGAGCACCGTCCTGATCATGATTGCGTCGGCGATCACGACGAGAGACGCATCGAAGCCGATCTCTTGGACGACGACCTCGTGCCTCGCGGTCTCGATGTTCCTGTACTCCCCGATCAGGGACGATAGGCTGAACGAGGTTGGAACGGGCTTCACCACGTACCCGTCGTCGAACTTCATGGCCTTGGCGACGCTGGCCACCAGCCCCGAGAGCGCGGTCAGCTGGCTGGCCACAATGGGCGCGCCGAGCGAGGTGGCGCCGCCGTCGGAGAGGCACATGGACAAGGCGTGGAGCGGGGTCCTCACCGCGTGGAGGAGCTTGGACGAGAACCGCTCCTTTCCCTCCGCGAGCTTCCTGGCGGCAGTCGCCGCCACCTCGGAGCGGCACTCCTTCAGGATGCGGCCCGTGTCGTCCCGGATGAAGCACCGCGTGTGGTTGAACGTCCCGTCCGACTTGTAGTTCACGTTCGAGTCGATCAGCAGGTGCTTGATATTTCCGACCTTCGTGCGGAACCGAATGGGCACGTCGCGGATGGTGTTGCCCGTCCCCAGCTCCTTGAAGATCTCCAAAACCCCGTCGCGGGAGTCCGGGCAGAAGCTCATGATGTCCGCCCCGATGTACTCCTCCCTGGAGTAGCCGAGGACCTCGAGCTCGCGGTCGTTCGCCCAGAGAATCTTGCCGGTCGCCGATAGCCAGTGCAGCGCGATGGGAGCCTTGTTGAAGAAGTCCTTGAGCTCTTCGGCCTCCGACGAGGCGCCGTTGTCAGCGGCAGCGCCGCCTGCTGCGCCTCCTTCCAGAGTAGCGGCACCGACGAACCCGTGGTGGTGCTTGAGCAAAGTCCAGTTGCACATGACGTTGCGGGGAAAGCCGTTCGGGCCCGACCCGCAAGCCGTCATCCGCGCCCCGTTGACCACCCCCATGGACCCGTCGTTCGCCGATTGAGAGAGGGCGTCCCTCACCCTTGTCCTGTCCTCCTCTTCGAACATCTCCACGAAGCTCGTCCCCACCGCGGCCTTTCTGGCCACCAGCTTCGCCACGAACTCATCGCTCACCGACGTTATCGAAAACGTCGCGTTCATCTCGACCAAAGCCATGGATGTCGATTGCCACGACCCTCGGGTCTCGACAGAATAGTACTACCACCTGCAGTCCGCGGTTGGTCCGTCGTACAGTCAAGAGGGGGGCGCAAATCTGCAGGGAGGGATTCAGGCTCGTGCTGGTGGGAAACCATCAGAATTGATTCGATTCTCTAGAATCCTAGAAAAAATCACCAGATCATCACTGCTGAAACAGATCGATCTATACAAAAAAGCATGCGAGTAAACACGGCAGTCTACTGTTCTGTATCAGGACTTTTCCAGTGTGCCCGCACAATACTACTCTCTAACATTCGTTGAGCCTCACCTGGTGACTGCCTCGGGTTATCTTTACCTTACACGGATGATGCGTAGACTCCTCCACATGAGCAGGAGAACACGATTCAACCCCCTCCCTTCAACCCCATTGACTCCTCTCTTCACACGCCAACGCTCTGAGGTAACGGACTTGCTAGTGACAGTAGGATAGAACACCGAGAGGCGAAATATTATTAGTATTCCCAATGGCCGTGGGGTCCCTCGCGTCACTTGATTGAGTGCACGAGAAACCCGATAGAGGTACTGCAACGACGTGGTTGTTGTTTATTGGGCAGTGCCTATTATTGCCTTGCTCTCTTTGGTAGACCCACCCTGATAGATCTGTCCCAAGGGGTAAAAGCTCCCACCATGCCTTTTCATCTGTTGTACTTGTAGACCCTTGTATGTTGCACATGTAGACCCTTGGTATATTATACTCAAGCCAAAACATGTGATATTCAACCGTACGGTTGCCGAAACGATTCTTCTCGTCAACAGTTCGTGGGACACACTATTGTAGTGGCCGGCCAGCGTATTGTTCGGAAGCGACCCTCTGCTAGATGCCATTTTTTTTTCGATGGCGGACTCGGCATGGTACCCCAACACCTACGGTTGTACGGAACGGTGCGGGATGCTGATACAGTATTCCCCCACCCCGTTGATATTGGATATGTATCTTGGTAGAGCGTTTCAATCGTTTCGTTTGATGAATTTGTTTTGTACTGTAGCACCTTCGCGACAATCGCCAAGATGACATTTTTTGGCTGAATTGCTTTCGTCCAAATCCTATCACCAAAGACGCCATAGGGAAGCTTGTTGTGCATCCGTTTGGGGATATATCGAATCTCAGTACTGTAGACTAGTGTACATCGTCTACAGTGGACGGCCCATCCAAGGATCTCCGAAAAAACTCGAAGATGTCGGCAAGATGTCAGCATGTCGATGTCCGCTGTTTGTTTGTCTTCATACTGCACTCCACCTGAATACTTCACCGTGCAAAACACTGTTGTATTTGGCATGGTCCACCGCAATTTTACAAGACTCTTCGTTTCTTCTCCTTGACAGCAGAGTCCTGTGGCCCGAGACATCCAGACAACCATGAATCATGACGCGAGTCTGTAGACACAGGTGCTGAGGACGAGCCGACACGACTGTAGACACACGACGGATTCATCGTATTTATTTGTTCAACACGCGACAGTCCAACTCACTTCCTCTCTCTTCAGGACGTAGTCAGCAGGAGGAGAGAGCACTTGAGAAGGTCTAGTCAGATATGGAGAGACAGCAGAAGAAGTGTGCGGGCGTCTCAGCGGCGTCTCGAACCAAGCGCTCTCTGTGGTGGTGTGCTCTTCTTTCTTTGTTCCGTCAAGTATGTTTCGGCGACCGCGGCGTTAGAAAGCACAGATCGATAGTAGGCTGTAGGTTATTACTCGCAGAGGCAAGGGTCAAGGCGTGCGATGCTACCACTACTCTTGGAGAGCACATGCGGTTTCCCGGTCAGGATCCAATAGTCTACCCGACCGAGCAGTCCGGCGTTTCATTATTGCTGTCGTTGCTGTTTACCGTACAGAGCAACCCCCCTCCTCCCCCGTAAATCTCCAATCGCGCGCCCCCCCCCAATCTGGTGTGATGTGCCTGATGTGCGGGGGCACCATCACCGACCAGCGACATCCTCGCACACAACAAGCCACCTGCCGGCAACCCTCTCGCATCAAACTCAAGTTTGCCTCCAGCAAGAGCAGCTCTCCGCTGGCGTGAGGAATAAACCGACGACGACGACAGAGCTGTGTTTGCGCGTTTGCGCGGGACCATCGACATGAAGGGCCCGATGAGGTCAAGAAGAAGACGGCCTCTTGAGGCAATGGGGGGGGCTCTCGCTCTGCTGGCTCTCGCACGACCCACCATCACGATGGGCTTCGTAGTCGGAGGCTGCAGCAGCGGCAGCAGCAGCAGCAGCAGCAGCATCGGCAGTCGCGGGGGATCCCGCAATAGATTCTTGTCGCAGGCGACGGAGACAACGGCGCCGGCACCGCCGGCGAAGGATGCGAGACATGCGCGAGAGCTCGATCCAAAGAAGGCGATCCCGAGAGAGACGCTCTTGGGCATGCCCTTGTCGAGGTGAGGGCTGCTGTGTATGTGACATCCCTTTTTCCTATCTTCTCGATCTCCATCTGCCGCCGAGTGCTGCATTACCCATCAGAACGTACGAGCTGTGCTGCCCCTTTGAAATCGAGTTCAATGGAGAAAACATCCAGTTTTATGGTTATGTTCGGTGACGCGGTCTTACGTCATTTTGCAATGCGCAGCTCCCAATTTTTGCGTGCACTCTGCTGTTCCCTTGTCTGCTATCAGTCACCAGCACGTGTCTAGCGCGACATGAATATGGCGTCGAATCAGAGGGAACCAAACAGTTTTTAAATTACCTACGATGAGAGGCGTTTGAATCTGCTTTGTTGGAACCTCCACTTTGTGTTGCGAGTTGTCTACTGGGTGTATTGAAGAAAAATAAATACACACACAGAAAGACTACATTGTATTGCTGTACCCATTCGAGATATACCCACAGTCGATGTTAGGATGATCCGAACTGGGGGTAGCTTGTCGCAAGACGTGTGTTGAGTAGGGTGTCGGCAACTCGGCGAACTCGCGCCAAGGAGGAAAGATGTGCTGGGTTTGTTGTATAGACTTCTTCTTCACATGAAAAACATGGACTCACATGAACACATGAACACATGAACACATGAACGCGTGCACGCACCACCATGAGGGAACGACGCAGTATACAACAGGGGTACGTTGCACACCCTGGAAATACATTCCACGTACCACACAATCCTACAACCACTTGGCATTGCTACAAGTATATCTATCAGCCCCCCTGCTTGTGACCATGCCATGTCTTTTTCGACCCTCAACTCCAAAACACAAGAAAATAAACTCAAAAACTCAACTCAACTCCAGAACAATAGTCTCACGGGCTAGACATCAATACCCATCCCCGGTCATATCAGATATACTTCTTCGAGCTTCAGTGAACTAATTGCCCCCCAGCCTAGAACATCATCCACTGACAAAAACCACGTGCAAAAATGCAAAATGTTGCCACCCTAGTTGTTTGATATCACACAAAAACAACCCAAACATCAAAATATTAATCCATACTCATTACGAAGTTACGATGAAACTCAAAATTTCCCACGTGAAGTGCCTTCGTGAGGAAGTCAGCGTGTTGATACGCTGATTCCACGTGAAAAATCGAAATCTCCTTCCTGCGTACCAAATCCCTGATAAAGTGGTGCCTTACGTCGATGTGCTTCGAGTTACTGTTGCTAATCGGGTTCTGCGCCAACTGAATAGCCCCCTGCTTATCCTCGAATACCGGAATACACGGCATACCTGCTTCTGGCAACATGAAACGCCATAATTGCCTCAGAAACAACACTTCCTTCATCACATCCGCAAGGGAGACATACTCCGCCTCTGTCGTGCTCAACGTAACGCACTTCTGCGTCCTTGACAACCAAGAAATACATCCCCCCCCACACGTTCATCACCAATCCTCCTGACACAGACCTCCTATAGGCAGCCCTACTTGCATAGTCTGCGTCTGCGAACACCTCCATGCTCAACCCTGCTACACTACCCCTCCTGAATGTAATACCCAAGTCACTAGTTCTTACCACATACCCCAAAATACCAAGACCTGCTCTCCAATGAATCTCTTTGGGAGAAGCACAGTACCGTGCTACCGCTCTCACTGCGTTCGCGATATCTGGCCTCGTTTGCGTTGCCAGCCACATCAATGATCCTATCAGCTCACGAAAAGGCCATGACACCACTTCTTCATCTTGGTCAAACTCTGAAAGCTTCAACCCTACAGGAAGAGGAATTTCCTTCCCGTACTCTACCCCAAACTCCATCCCCAACTCTTCAGCGTACGTCTGCTGCGAGATCTTCAAAGTCCCTGCATCCCAATTTTCCAAGAATAAAATCTCCTCTACCACCTGCTCCCTCAGGTTGTGATCGCTGTTCACAACCAAACATCCTGTGAAAACCCCGAAAATAAAATCCTACTCGTTCAGGCTCGACCTCGTACTCAAAAAAACCAAACACAAAGCCGAAGCAACACAAACCAAAGCCAAAACAATGAGAACACCAAATAAGAAAGTCACACCATTTGTCACATGAAGTATTTTTTTCCGGCCCATCAACCCCAGCGCTTTCATCCATCCCTCCTGCCACTGCTTCTTCCCCGCGGTAGCCACCCTCGCCTCTGCCGCGGCCACCCTTTTCTGCTGGCATCGCCGCGGCTCGGGCTTCATCAGGTGGAACGTATCCGCCTGGGTGGGGTGTGTGCAGCTGTCTCTCCGGAGGGATTGACTTGGCAGTGCAGGGGAGATTGCGCATCCGAAAGGGAAAGGCAAAGGCAAAATCAGTCACCCAAAGCGTCAATTCAGCACGTGGCACTGCTGGGGAGAATAGCTTGCAATACGCCCCCTGTTCTGCGCAGCAGTGATCGTTGTCTTTCGCATTCTGTACGACATCACGGTTACCTATCAAATCGAACGCCAATCTACGACTGAGGTTTATTACTCCTCTTTCGCAAAAGTGACACAACGATTCTTGCGATTTGTCTGCCAAGGTTAATTATTCCTTGGTCACGCAAACAACAATGTTGGATCCATGTTAGAGCTTACACAGCTGTGTTTCTGATCAACAACCCAACACATCTTCTTACTGGTGTGCAACCACTGCGCTGCTTTCGTGCATACAGTGTTCTGGTACGAAATGGAGATCATCTCCATGTATTCCTGTCGGTTACACAGACCCCTGACCAAATTTCCAAGTGTGTGTATCCCCCTACAACTCCTACCGCTGGACATGCAACAGACTCCTGTTCGTAACACGCAACTCATTGTCGGTAGAGGGTACAAAGATTCATGACGCCTTCGCATATCCCGTTATCGACGTGAACGCAAAAATAATGAGTCGAAGATCAATCTCTGTATTTTAACACATACGGGACAAAACATTTCCATCATCTTCAAAGCACTCAAGAAGGTATATGCAGCAGCTTGGTTAGGATTCGCTGACAATCTCATCTAATCTTTCAGTTTCTGTGGGTGACTGGCAACCTTACGTGGCGTAGTAGCCATACAACCTCGCAGTTTTGTGGGTGACTGGCAACTTACGTGACGCAATATCCATTTGACCTCGCAGTTTTGTGTGGGTGACTGGCAACCTTACGTGACTCAATATCCATTTAACCTCGCAGTTTTGTGTGGATCACTGGCAACCTTATCTAGAATAGAATGCCCTTTGATGGGGTCTACTGCTGTACCTCTCAGGAAAAACATGTGCAAGATGATGACGCCTGTGTATGCAGAACTCAACAAGGTGTGCTGTAGGTTTATCGGAGCACACCCAAACGAAATCGACGAAGACAAGCATGCAAGCACATATCAAAATCAATTCAGACGTAAAACGGTGAGCAGATCATCACGTGCCTGAGCGGATCTACGACCCTAGTAGGCGCATGCTGATGGTGTTGCTGCTCGGCATCTCCAGTGTTGTAACAACATCCGAAATTGGCTCTCAAAAACCTGTACTCTAACCTGGACATCGCCACTAGAATCGAACACACCCGTAAATGGGGCTACATGTATTACAGGACTGACACGGATGGTGTCCTTAGGGGGTAAGACTTCCCTGGTTTCCTCCCCCGGGATGTTGGTCCTTCGCATTGCCCGCGCGAAGGAATCAACGAGACGGTCCTCCAACCATCGTGGCTGGTCTTCAGGTTGCGGGTCTAACGCTGTTCCAGCCGGCCGAGCATGCCGGGGATCGCCTCCATCGGGGGGCTTGTCCACGCTCTCTGATGCGGGACGCTTCTCTTCGGTTTACTTGCTTTTTTCTTGTATTCCCTTCTCCACTTCCTCTTTGATGTGCGCCGATAATGCTTGGCGGTCCTCTTCAGTAAAGCTGCTGAGGCCGAGGGCTTCCATGATCTACTTCTTCTCTAGCCGAACCCTTTTATAGCTAACCTCACCTCGGGACCCCGTATGATATCACTCGCTAGCGTGTTAGGATGATCCGAACTGGGGGTAGCTTGTCGCAAGACGTGTGTTGAATAGGGTGTCGGCAACTCGGCGAACTCGCGCCAAGGAGGAAAGATGTGCTGGGTTTGTTGTATAGACTTCTTCTTCACATGAAAAACATGGACTCACATGAACACATGAACACATGAACGCGTGCACGCACCACCATGAGGGGACGACGCAGTATACAACAGGGGTACCTTGCACACCCTGGAAATACATTCCACGTACCACACAATCCTACAACCACTTGGCATTGTTACAAGTATATCTATCAGTCGAACGGGATGTGGTGGATGTATGGGCACCAGTGCTCCCACGGAACAGCAACAAGCAGTATCCATCATTCGGAAAAATAGAAAAATCGTGGGAAAACAAAACTTTGGCTGACTCTATGGATTCATGCTAATCTATATTTTAATTGTACGACTCTTTTCTTCGATAGAGATGGATTCGTTGGGTCATACTGATGAAATAAAACAAAGAATGGGGTGCAAAGATGGAGATCCTGGTCTGTCCTTTGACACAGGTGGCGGAGGGAGCAAGCGAAGAGGGTACCTGAATCCGAGCAGCTGGACCAGTTGGTGGGATCCCTGGCGGAGGCGATCAAGGCCGTGGCGAGCTTCACCCGCGTAGCGGGGGTGCCCGACTACCGGGAAGAATGGGACCAGAATAGCATATACGAGGTAATGGCTTATGCGATGTGTGTACAGCAGTGCATATTTTCACAAAACACATTTGGTTTCCGTTCACTGCAAAGACTCCAACACATCCCGTTCGGCTGCTGTGGTAATATCTCGAAGGGGTAGTCTTTCTGTGTTTTGCATTTATTTTTCCCAACATTTTGGTTCGTTCGTTCGTCAATTTTTGTTTGTCCGGTGCTAGGAAGCAACGGCGCTCGCAGCTATATATGTAACATTTGGTAGTGTAGTAAAGCTTTGGTATTTGGTCTGGTGGAAGGACCCCTCTCCGCATGGCGGGATGCATCTCACACCTGTGTTGTCGCAGAAAACCTCACGTCGCTTTTCGCGCATTGTGTGCTGCCTACCTATGCGTACGTGACCCCGGCGCCAGCCCGATTCTTGCTTCGTAGCAGCTTGCGGTGACTCTCGCCGCTGCCCCCGCTGCAAACCCTCCGCTAGCTGCTGCTGCTGCTGCTGCAACGTCAACAACACCGCTTCGTGTGTTTGCCTTTTTTTTGTTCTGATGGTCGGGCTGCGGTAGAGCATGGGCAAAGGCTGGCGGCACAACAATGTGTGCAAGAGGCTGCTGGAGGTGGCCCTGTGCGCGTCGGGCCGGCTCGGGGTCGTGGCGTACCCGAACAAGCCTCCGATGACCATCGACGAGGTTTTCGGACACTTCATCGCCACCGTGAACCCTCTCGTGAGATACCTTGCTTCGTTCCGTGTTGCTGATGATGATGACTGCCATGGTGGTGCTGGCACCATGTTGGTACCAGTCAGTCAGGCGTTATTGTAGGCCTGAGCCGTGCGATGCCCCTTTCGAACACCCTAGCACATCACGTGACCAACTCGTTCCCATCCGCCCACGCACGATTTTTTGCGTGAAAACCTTGGGTATACTATGTACAAGTTTCCCCCCAACTTGACCCCAGCCCCTTGCGCACAAGTCCTGCATGGTACCAAGACGTCGCAATAGTTTCGAGTGATGGGGAGGATTGGAATGATGACCCCAAGCGCTTTTTTAGGGTCTCGGAATGATCAAAGGACTTCAAGGGCGATGGACGCAATTGCGAGGACATGATGTATGTCGCTGCGAATCGGCAAGAATTAATGTGAAGCTCTTCTCAAAAGACGTCATCGAGTGACGGTCGGCCGGATTTCCCACGCCGGGGTCTGACAAACGGAACAGGTCGGAGCCGGAGGTCTTGACGCCAACGTGCCGACCGGGACGGTGATCGGTCTGTTCGAGGAGCCCGACGACGAAGGGTGCATCGTCGACTACAGCATCGACGATGCTAGTCTGCAGGTACGATTACATGATGTTTTTGCTACCCGGCGCGATGTAGAACAGCGCGTGTTTGGTGTGCAGGGAGGAAAACAGGTTGTTCGGAGGCGCAGCACCAGTGCCACTGGTGACGGGCTGCCCTCTGTATTTCTATCGACTTTGCTTGGACTCGAAACGATGAATAGGGGCGATTTTTTTTTTGCAGCAGCAACGGCGGTAGCGATAGCAGGGAACAACAGCACACAACGGCGAAAGGCCCATACAATGTCTCACCTTACGAAAACGTAGCCCCTCGGGCACACGTCGTTATTGCGACTAACCGATCGGGTGAACCAGCCCTGCTGTCGGCTTCTCTAGGATGTTGTCGGGGCTTGTAACGGTATGACTACTGTGGATGGAAAAGAAAAAACAAGCTCGCGTTGTCATGCGACTTTTTTACCACCAGCACATGGTGGTACTCTGCGTTGTGCACAATCGACGCTTGGCTTCCCGGGACGGCGACGACCATCGCGACGCGCGCTGGGCAATATCCGTCGGGACCTCAAACCCGGATGAAGTTGTGTCTTTAGCGACTAACAATGTTCATTTTGGGCCATGGGTCCACCAATACCAGTGGCGCGTACTTGTATGTCTTCGGTATCGAGGACGGCAGGCGGCCTCTCTCGCGGTAACGCCAAACCTGACCTGACGCTTGTTTTTTCAGGAGGAGCTGTGCTTGCTGAGGACGCTGCAGCCGGGGAAGAACCTCATTGGGGCCGGTTATGCCATGCAAGTGTCATTTTGCTGCTGTACCGTACCGTGCCGTACCGTACCGTACCGTATCCCGTGCCGTCGGCAAGAGGAAGAATGGACTGCTGTATTGTTATGACGAGGATGAACACATTGAACATGATCGATAGGATTGCGTCCGATGCGATCAGATTTACAAACCGTTTGTGTCGGGTATCCCCGCTGTGGTTGGCATTCCCGCTGTGGTTGGCATTCACACGTCACAGGCTTCGTAGAGCCATGTATAGCCCCGACGCGAACCACAGGCCAGGGGTTGATGAGGCTGCAATTGCCCAACTTGAGTGAGCGTGCTGCGTGAGATGCGGTCAGTCGTGGCGTACGAAGACAAGAGCCGCCGCGTGCCCTTCTTATCCGGATTTTTTGTTCTCAAAACCTGTTTCGTGTGTCGCGGGGTAGCTGCGGGTAGGCTTCATTTCACAACGGCGGTCTCGCTCTGTCTCCCGCCCCCTTTTCGATGACCCTGCAGCCCGTGCGGCTCAACCCCCCCCCCCCCCCCCCCCCCCCCCGACGGCGGCGCGACCGACGAAAGGCCCACGGCCACCCGACCGACCGACAGAACGACCCGACCCAACCCGAAACCCCACCAAACCA